AATGAGAGTAATGACAAAAAAAACTCTCTAAGACTTGCTGAAATATATGGTAAAAAGCCGATCTATCTTGCTATGCTACCTTCAATATAAACTGCAAGAACAAGTGTAGAAATGCAGAAAAGCAGTAAGAAAGAAATATCAAGAACCACAATTATAATAGCCTGTTCCAAAATGGTCTTTCATAAGGAGACTTTTTTGTTTATAGTGAATGATTATATTGACACAAATTGTGAATCCAGAAAATATATAATAAAAACAATACCTTTTGGCCATACAGCTTTACAATTATGTAGTTCAATTCTGGCAGACTTCTGCCCATAAATTTTGGGAGCTTAAAAAAAATTACTATAAAAGAAAACATACCTGAAAAATATATTGGCTCAGATATTTCTCTTTTGAGGACAGTTTGCTTCTTATTAGGGGAAGAAAAATGAGCCATGATTTCACTTCATATAATTGCAATACAATGCACATAATGAGGCCAAACAATTACTTTTAAAAATGCAGATATCCATTTCAAGGCAAAAAAGAACAAATTCTGAATCAATATACAGATGATGTATTATAGAATTGTACACCTGAAATCTATTAATTTTATTAACCAACACACTGCAATAAATAAATTCAACAAAAATAAATAAACTTAAAAACCAGGAACAATAAATAAATAAGATCAGTAAGGTATGGCATATAAATTAGGTATTGTTATTCCAATTTGTATTAAGTTTCTATACAACTAGCAAGGGACTGGCTCATATGTCCTCAATGAATAATTTTTATTAAAATGGGTATTTAACTTGCCCAAGTCATATTATTAATTTTGACTTACTAAACGGTCACTACAGTGCCTCTCAATTCTAATATTCTAATATTGAATCTGGTTTTTAGTAAATCTAATCATTACCTCAAATTTTATTAGTATTAAAATTTAGTGGAGGCTACCATCTAGTGGTCTTGAGTTGAATCGTTTCAAAATCTGAAAAGAATTTTTGTCTTTGATAACAGAATGAAACATTGATCTCTTTACAAAATTTCTTACAATTATTAGAATAATGAAGCTTAATTATTACCAAAGCAGGCTATGTACTAGCATGCTGTTCTTGGTTCCCTTGAGTATAGAGGAGAATGTTTTAAGCAATGAGATGTTGGCAAGAGCTTTTTAGAGGGAATAATATTTGGGGCACAGAAAACTCATTGAATTACAATAATTTCAACAGAGTAATTACTTTTATGAGCATATCATCTGCCAGAAAATCCTCTCCTGTCTGTTCTCACAATGCTTCTATATCCAGAATTCAACTTTTTATTAACTACTCTGCCACCTTCATGGTCCAAGCAGCACCATCTCTGACCTGGAATATTGCAGTAGCCTTTTATCTGGTCTTTTTGTCCTACTCTCCCAATTATGTTCTATTCTCAATATAATAGCCACAGTGAACCTTTGAAAATGTAAGTCAAATCACATCGCTCTTCTAAGCCCTCAATATTTGAGTAAAAGTAAACTCTTAAAAGTGGCCTCTATAGATAGAGGTTCCAAGTTGACCTGTATCTAATTATCTCTGCTCACCTCTGCTCTTCTACTGGCTCATCTGACTCCATCCGCACTGCCTTCTGCCAACAGACTCCTTCCTGACTTAAGGCTTTGCATAGACAGTAGAAACATCATATATAATAAAAGCCTAATATACTAACTGTCCAGTCATAGGGTCAGCCGTTCAACCAATCAAAGTGTAATATGCTAATGATATGCTAAGGCTGCTCAATTGCTCGCTATGATGTGCACCACCAGGGGGCGGATGCTCTGACTGGTAGGTGAGCTTGCTCTTGGGGGTCTGGCCAATCGGGACTGAGCAAAATGGGCTGGATATGCCCTGGAGCCCTTTCTCAGGCCCTCCCTGGCTGGCCAATCTTCTGTGTCCCTCCTAGGCCCTGATCATGCACCAGTGGGGTCCCTCAGCCTGACCTGTGCCCTCTCAGAATCCAGGACCCATTGGAGGATGTCAGAAACCAGTTTTGGACTGATCACGTTGGCCAGGCTGAAGGGCCCCACTAGTGCATGAATTCATGCCCTGGGCCTCTAGTGTAAAGATGAGAATCCAAGTAAGTTTTTGTAGACTGATCCTTTCGGTATACTGACTATAAGTACTGGTTAAACTACATACCCTTCCCTTCCCCTAAAACAATTGCTATCTGCAGGCACTGAAGAATGATCAAACATAGACAGTTACTAGAGGGAAGCTGACACTTGGAAGAAAAGAAGAGCAAGAACTAAATTATATTTCTACTTTTCAAAATTCTGGCCAGAGCACAGTTTCCAGTCTGAGTTATGTGGGGCAGGTGAAACTCCACTGAAAATCTATAATATTTCCAGTCTGAAGAAATAAGCACAACTGAGGACTGCAAGGGGGTATCTTCATCTAGGCTGTCCTTCTCAGGCTGATTCTGTTGCCCGCCCTGCACTAATTGTTTTAACACTTGCACAGCATGTCATAAGTTTTGAGGTATGGTTACTATGAAAATGCAAGCTTGTCATGATTGGCAACAACCATCATCATTTTATGCAGCTCACGTGTGTGAAGTCTGAGACATTGATATACTTAACGCTCAAGTTTTGTTTTTCTAAGCTAGTCTTTCTTTACTTCTACAAGTTCAAAGTGAGAAGCAGCCAGTTGACTTTGGTAACCATGGACAATGTCTTCCACTGCATTTTACAAGATTTTCAAAACAATGTCTGTGGAGTCAGTGATCAAAATAGATATTAATTTAGATACACATAAGAAAGAAAAAGAAAAAGATGGGCATTTATGTTTCAAGAAACTTTTATTTTTTGTATATTCACGTTTACACTTTTGCATTTTCCAGTTAATATCCCTTACTTCAGAAAAAAATAATGCGATCTTTTACATATTTTCCCCAAAACATTATATCTGCTCTACATATTTGCCCTGATTTTGTTAATGCTTATTAACATAACACTCCTCTTCCTGCTTTTCATTATTTTTATCTATTTCCCATTGTATTCACATACTAAGACAAAGAAACACCAGGAACTATCTTTGGAACAGTAAGTTTGAATTCTTTTTCAAGCACAGATTTCTATATTTTTTTTTTTAAAAATTGTCATCAACCGAAGGACTTTTATACATGCATATAAGTACAACCAATGGACACAAAACTCTGGGGAGGGAGGGGATTTGTGGTAGGGAGGGAGGGGGGCAAAAAAAATCAATTAAAAAAATTAAAAAAATAATAATAAAATAAAAAAAATAAAAAAAAACTATCATTTTGAGGATTGGCAAATAGACTCCAATGAAACATTTGCTCTTCCAGCTTCAAGTTTACTTAATGATTGCCATCCATGTTGTAGTCAGTGGATAATGATTTCCTTTCCCTAAGTGAACCTGAGATTTGGTTGTTGGGGGGGGAAAAAAAGGTTTGGCTTTAACAATTAATTTTTGCAGTAAGAGCTACTTTGCTTTTGAATTCATTTATACCGCTGCTTAGATTTGTAACAATGAATTCAGTGTCAGCACACTCTAGCTGTGTTTCAGACATCTACTTTCTCTGTTATGAGGACACCAAGTAGTATTGTAACAAACGTATCATCAGATGTCCACAAGTCTACAATGCAAAGGCTTATCATCTGTGGGTGTCTATCTGAATAAGCCTATCAAGCCATGTTTTAGCTATGCAAATATAATTTAATTTTTTCTTCCTAATTTTGTTATATAATTATTGTAGGATGTTCCCTAATATAATTGACAAATGGAAGCAAACCTAACTGGTCGATGGTAGAAAGAATGATTCATTCCCTTCATGTGAGTTTCCATGATGGTGGACCCGTCGGGGCGGTTGCCAGGGGCAGTTGGCCACTTCTGCTCACCTTTCCCCTCATTGTTCCCAAAATATCCCCTGCAACTGCCACAAAAAGTCCGGAATAGCTTTCTCCGTGGATTAAAAACTTGTTCTGGATTCATAAACAGGGATCTCCATCTAAAAAAACTCCCTTGTCTCCTCTGAAGTCTTTTTCTGGATGTAATTCAATTTGCCCCCTTGATTTTTAACATTTCCTTGAACCCAAATTACATGTCAGTTTCACACCCTAGGCCTTCCCGGGACCTCTACCAGTGGTTGGCAAACTCATCAGTCAACAGAGCCAAATATCAACTGTACAAGGATTGAAATTTCTTCTGAGAGCCACATTTTTAAAACTTAAACTTCTTCTAATTCTACTTCTTCAAAATAGACTCGCCCAAGTTGTGGTATTTGTGGAAGAGCTGCACTCAAGGGGCCAAAGAGCTGCATGTGGCTCGCGAGCCACAGTTTGCCAACCACAGCGCTAGCCTGAACAACTGGTGTTACTGACTCTCGGGATTCTAGCGGCAGCTGTGTCTGATCGCAAGCCTCTGTGTGTGCCTCCCTCTCCTGCGCTGGCTCCTCTGTAATGTTAGACGTGGTGTTGTTCCCCCTTAGCTTTTTCTAGCTCAGTTTTTCCCCTCTAATTTCATAATAGGATTCCTTATTTTTCCTGTGGTATCACACTCCTTCAGTACTGACTTATTAGTTAGGTGCCCTTTGGGAATTAAAAAGTATAGCATTGACCATGTATGTTAAGTTAGCCTCTACAGGAATTCTTAGTTTCATTCAATACAATAACCTTCATTTAGTACAACTAAAACTTCATTTTCTGACAAAAGCCACATTGTCATATTCCAAAGAGCAAGTTCTGCCGCCTTGCTTCTCATCTTCATTCTCATTCTTTTCTAAGTATATTTTGTAACACCAGCCCATCTATGCCTGTGGCCCAGGTTTTTCTGGGTGTCTTTATAGCCCCCAATAAAGGTATTTTATGTTTAAAAAAATCCATTATAATCAATCCATGGAAACAGTCAGTTTACAGTAAACAAAAGGTCTCAAAGATATCCCATGTTTTCATAAATCACAGTACATTTCTCTGCATCCTAATTTTAAATAAGAAACAGGTAAAGAAAATATCTTACCCCAAAAGTTTTCTGGCCATGGACTTCCTAAACTTGTGGTGTTATTGGCCATAATATCCGCCAGAAACAGGAGAGAGAGGAGAGAGGAGAGAAAGAGAGAAAAGCCAGGGTGGCCAAAAGCTGCACTCTGATTCTAGGTCTTTGTGATTCCGCAGGAGAGAAATAATTTTCACACAACCCTTCATATACTTGTGTTTGCATAAAAGGAAACAAGTGTATCATGTTTCCTGCTTTTATACTCAAATTAGCAACTGTTTTTCTTATCTTGGAATTCCACATGGTTCCCGAGACACAGAACCATTTCCTTCTCGTCATTTCCTCAGCGAAGGCACTGAATGCCTCCGCTTGGCTGCCTCCAAACTGCGTTTGGAGTAACAGACTTTTTTCCTTCTCTCGCCATCTCTCACTGACACACACAGGGAGATTCCAAACCCAGCTGCAGCGCGGGTGACATTGATTCGGGAGAGAGAGAGACCGTTTCCAATGGTTAAAAATTAACTTTTAGAGGCGAGCAAATTCAGAAACCCTGGTTCTGTTCAAGGACAATTAATTTTCTAATGCCTCTTTTTTTTTTTTTTAATCTAAATCCGTTGCTTTTCAAAACTCTTACCATGTCTCGTTCTATTTGTATGTTAATATTGAAAATGTCTTTATTTCGTAAATATGTATCTACTATGTAATTTAGATTGAATTACAATTGGTATCTAAGTATGAAAAAAGTTTCTAGAGTGAAAGAACCTATTTTTAAAAAGATGATAAAAAAATAAAAGAGAGGCTCTTTTATTTGACAAAGAGCAGTTTTTCCATTGTAAAAAAAAAAATTAAAAATGAGCCCAGACAGTGTGGGTTAGTTGTTGAGCGTTGATCTATGAACCAAGAGATCATGGATCAATTCCTGGGCTTGATCCCTAGAGTGCAGCATGCAGGAGGCTGCCAATCAATGATTCTCTCTCATCATTCATGTTTCTATCTCTCTCTCTCCCTCTCTCTTCCTCTCTGAAATCAATAATAAAAAAAAATTAAAAACATAAGTAATAGGAAAAACATAAATACAAACATTTTATTACAACAGAATTTTATATGCTACAGCAAGGAGTACGTTGAGCACAGTAATTTTTCTTCCTGGGGAGGTGAGAGAAGGGATGATCCTGGTATTGTGTGTGAAAGTATGAAAATAATTTTGCCCAGGAGTAAGTGGGTAGAAAGGTTGAAGGAACAACATGAAAGGAGAAGAACAATTACAGCCCTCACTGGGGATGACGAGAGAGTATGCAAAGTGTGGCCCTCAGAAAGGCTGACATGAGACTTTTCAGGAGCTGTGGGTTAGTTATTACTTCAATTTTCTGTCTACAAGCTTTACTAGCTGAGGCTACATTCTCTGAGCACTGAGAAGTCATCGTAAGTAGGAGTCAGGGCTAAACCATACTTAGTAACTGCGCAAGACTGCATTCAGTGGGCCATTTTCCTTAATCTTTGCCTAATCTAGCACTAGCTCTGGCACAGTTTGCATTCACCTAACTGGCCATGGATTCCTTATGTGGCAGTGTGAAGCCGCAACCACCTTTGTGAAGTAAGATACTCCTGAATATCTGAAACAAAAAACACGGAGCTTATCGCATATTAATCTTTGTACTCCTAATTCTCTAAAAACTAGGTTGTTTCTGCTCATTTTTTATAGACTTACAGTAACTGTAAATGCACTGGATGTTAATATATAGGCCACCCGAAGGAGAATAGGAAAAGAAAAATGTTATAAAAATTCAGAGACATCATTGGGAAGACTCATCTCTATGATATTCTTGCTGAGGTTTATTTCCATATAGTCAAATAAGTAAAATATCCATACTGTTGTTTAAGGAAAGCATATGTGGGGCCTCGTTTTAATAGCTACTTTTACTTCTCAATATTATGTCCAGTCAAAATTTATGAAAACAGAAAACTAAAAGGTTATCTTATTTCAAACATATATATATAATCTGGATAGAATTATATTGAAATACTTCTAAATGATTTCAGAAACAGCAGGATTCTTCCATTACTCTATGCATTTAAAAATCCACATTTGGTTGTATTATAGATGAACAATTCAATACATAATAATTTCAAAACTGGATGCACTTTGAAACAGAATTTATATCAACTGTATTCACTCTGAAACAAGAACCCAGATGGTAGAAAGGATGGGCCTGCTTGGTCCAAACTGCCTCGTGGGCAGAAACAGAGTTTGCTCCACCTCAGGCCTGGGGTGCAGGCCCGGACTTCCTCTTATTGTTCCAGATTGGAGCATCTAAATTTTCTCCAATACATTCCACTTTTGCAGATGGTCAGAACCCGTCAAAACTCTGAAGAAAACTTGTTTTTTCTATCACTATATATAACCCTGGAATACTTTTCTTTTCTGTTAACAGCTGTGGATGGCATTCGTTCTTATCTGTGCATGTAATTTGCTGGTTAAGGATTCATACTGTTTTTTGGCAGCGATCCATGTAAATGGGTGTTTATTATCTATGCGATTTCTGAGTCCCATGACTTGTAATGCCAAAACAGGAAGTGGACCTTAATCTTTCCAAAACTGTAAGGTCTGCTTTTCTACTCTTCAGATCTGGATTCCCCGCTAGTCATAACACACAATCAGAGGCTTGTTCCTCCCCCAGAGTCACAGGAGCTATTCCCTCCCTTCATTTCGGCCTCTTGGTCCTTCCAGGGCATTTAGTAGTCCCCTGTCTGAAGTGGCTCGCTAACCACCCCCTCTCCTCTGACCCTGCGTTACCATTCTATTCAGAGCGCTTAGCAGGCCCTGACTTTGTTCCATGTGTCTTTTTGCTTTTTCTTTGTCTCTTATGCTCTTCCATGAGAGGTAAGCTCTATGAGGACAGGAACTTTATTGATCTTGCTCTTATCTGTGTCTACGTGGCTTATATAGTTCTCTTAATAACATGTTATAAATAAATAACAAAGCAGTCCTAGCTGGTGTTGCTCAGCGGATAGAGCAGCGGCCTGCAGACTGAAGGGTCCTAAATTCAATTCCAGCCAGGGGTGCATGCCCAGGCTGTGGGCTTGATCCCCAGTAGGGGGCATGCAGATGGCAGCTGATCCATGATTCTCTCTCATCACTGATGTTTCTGTCTCTCCCTCTCCCTTCTGCTCTGGAATCAATAAAAATATCTTTAAAAAGAAAAGAAAGCCCTAACCGGTTTGGCTCAGTGGATAGAGTGTCGGCCTGCAGACTAAAGGGTCCCAGGTTTGATTTTGGTCAAGGGCATGTACCTTGGTTGCGGGCATATCCCAGTGGGAGGTGTGCAGGAGGCAGCTGATGTTTCTCTCTCATCAATATTTCTAACTATCCCTCTCCCTTCTTCTCTGTAAAAAATAAAATATATTTTTTAAAAAATAAATAAATAACAAAACAGGCTCTTATTAACTAATTATTTAATAATAAAATAATTCCAAGGGACCGGAAGATAAAATTGTTTTAGCCATTCCATGTCAGGTTAATAAAAAATGCCACTTACCACTGAAAAACCAAAGTTAAAGATCTCTATTTTTAAAGGCATTCAATATTTTAAAAGTTTGAGTTAGTACTTGATATAGAGACAAGCAATACAAAAGAACATTGTCAGACAAACTCAGACTTAAGATAAACATTTGACTTTAAACTTTCCTTTTTTGCTTTATTTTTAAAACTATCATTGGTTGTTGCCCTCATAATAAGTTGACCTAAGCAATTTAGTATTTTAGAAAAAAATCCAGACAAAACAAAAAACTAGAAGTACAGCTTATAAGTAAAAAGTACAAAATGAATTGATTCAAGTGCCTGAATTTGTTCAGAAAAGAGATAAAGAGATAAATAATTTGTTCACATATATACACTGAGAAAAGAATGAAACTTCATTAACTGGAAATACAATATGAATTAAAAACAAATTCAAATATCATAATTACTGAGGAAATATTAAAGCATTCCCTTTAACAGAACATTTGACCACTATCATGATTTCTATTCAAAATCAGACAGCACGGCCTTGCTGGTACCATGAGAAAAACAAATAATATACTATGTAAAGAATTAGAAAGATAAAAATGAAAGCATAATTTGTTGTAGGTTGTAAAATGGTCTACATTGTCACAAAAAATATAAGATATACAAAGGAAAGAAGTCATTACTAGGGAAAAACTACAGCAATAACAAAAACATACCAGACTTGTGGAAAATGATTTTATTGAAGGAGTGACTTGTATGCATGCATATAAGCATAACCAATGGACAGAGATGGGGAAGAGAGAGGGTGAGAGCATGTGCAGAGGGGTGTGGGCAGCTGAGGAGCGGTCAATGGGGTAAAAGGAGACTTACTATGTAATACGTTAAACAATGAAGAACTCAAATCACACACACACACAAAATGGTAGAACCTACATAGAACAGAATATCTCCATTTTCAATAGTATGGATGGCATTATGTTAAGTGAAATAAGAAAGACAAGTATGACATGATTTCACTTATATGTGGAATCTTAAACAAGAAAACAAACAAACAAACAAAAAGATGCAGAGAATAGATTGGTCTATCAGCATTTTTACATGAGCAGCACTCAAATCTATGTACATCTGTCACACTGAGAACCAACCCACGTGGGTTCAGTGGGGCCTGAAGGATTCCATGCGCTGAGAAGTCAGTGATGTTTCACTAATTTTATCTCACCCATAAGAATAGTTCGCTTTGGTTGACATGATCATAGCTTATTATCAAGGTCCTACAGCCTGGCTATATTTTAATAAGAAAGTTAATTTAGCGTGGCATACTTGCTATTATTGCAATAACATAGGCTCTCACCATGATTAGTGTTCATTCGTGAATATTCCCCAAGGCATTCATTCAAAAACACATTCTAAAACCTATTAGGGTTTATGGCAAATATTTATCTTAAATTTGAGGAACCAATTCCATTCTTTTTAACAAAAAAACTTTCCTATTCCTGTGATTCATATGTAAACCTACATTTGATAAATTGATATTCAAATTTCCATACATTTGAGTCCAAATGGCACAGACCAGAAGATATCACTCATTTAGAACAACATATTAATGTACAACCTGTCTAGTCACAACAGGTTGTACGTTAATATGAAGTCTCAGGACTTCAATTCTTTCTTTTCAATCATTGATGACAGTTTTCAGTCTAAAGATCTGTATA